CCTGGGGCAGGGCCTTCTCTGCGCCGAAGGGGCCGAGCCAGGCAGATAGCACTCCCGGCCGCGGTAAATTGATCATTAAACCGAGCTGGACAGGGCGTCCCAGCCCCGTGGCCACCTAGCCCGTGGCCGGCCGGGCACCTGCTTCAAAGTGCAGGGCGCCCTCAGGCAGAACTGAGCGGGAGGGAGGGGAGGGGCCCCTTGAATTTAGAGGAGGTTTGGGGAAATACAGGAAATGGAGTGATCCAAAACCACCAGAAAGTTCCCAGAAAGGCGCTACCCATGGGTGGCTCCTGAGAGGAGCATGAGGGGCCGGACCAGGGCACCCCGCACCCCGCACCCCGCCTGGGAGCCTGCCGCCGGGTGAGGCCAGGAGCCTGGGACGTGGCTTCACTTCCAGCCGCGGCTGCCTGGTCCCAGACTGGACTCCGAGGGGCCGCGGGACCTGCCTGACGCCCCTTCCAGACCTGAAGCAGCCAGGCCCTCAGCGTGCCTCTTCCTCAGGCGGCATCACCCAGCCGTGAACAGAGGCCGTGTCGCTGCCATGTCACTGCCCCTGAGGAGACGAGGCTGGGGCTGCGCTCCATCCTGACCCGGACCCCCTGGCTGGTGGCAGTGACGGCTGGGCCTCCCGCCCGACACTCGCTCACTAATTAATGGTGAGCGGCCGGCGGGCACCGCGGGGACGGCCTGTGGCTCTCACACCTTTGGAGTCTGCCCGGGACACCAGCCCTCCGGGGCGGTCACGGGTGAGCGCTGCCCGGGAACACGCCGGCCTGTCGGCCCGCTGGGCCTGTTACTCAGTAACGGGTGCGGTTAACGTTCACCCTCCACGCGGGAACACTGAGTCACAGCAAACCAGGGCAGCTCAGACCGGCCTCCCAGCTCCTTCGCCTCAGTCAGCTAACCCTCAGGTGGCGTTTATTTCCCACCCCGTTGCTAGAGTGTGTCACAAATGCAAGGCCACTTAGTTCCGTCATAAGGATCCAGATCCTTTGGACTTCTCTCTTAAAAATGAAGCAACTGGAAAGGACAGTGCCCTGGGCAGCAGGTCAGTTGGTTAGAGCGTTGTCCTGTGCACAGAGGTCGCAGGTTCGATCCCTGGTCCGGGCACACGCCTAGGCTGAAGGTCCAGTCCTCGGTGGGGTGCATATGGGAGGCAACTGATCAATGTATAATATCTCTCTCGCATTGATCTCTCCATCTCTCTCTCCCCTCCTCCCCCTCTTCCCTCTCTAAAATAAAAATATTAAGATGAAAACGTATTTGGTCCCCTCTCCTCAGCCTGGCTCTCTGGGACTCAGAAGGAAATAACCTGGGGGGTGGCGAGCGCGCCGTGAGGGCGGGGTACCCCAGCCTCCTGTCTGCGGGCTTTGGAAACGCGTTAGGCCTGGATTAGGGTGCGAGAAGCTGGGCGCGGCCGGAGGGAGGTGTCTGGGCTCCTCAGTCGGGGGAGGGGCTGTGGGAAGGATGAAGGATGGGTTGTCCTGAAGACTGAGGTCCCCCTGGTTTCTGGGGGGAGGGGGGTCATGTCCCCTGCAAAGGCCGGACTGACCTGGTGCCCTCGTCCAAGGGAGGAGCACCGAGACCTTCACTGAAAACCGCCGGCAGACAGGGCGGTGACTCCCGTTCCTGTTCCCGGACGGGGTTGGATCGGGGACCACGCCCGCCTCCCACCGCCTCTCCATAAGGCCAGGGCCTGGACTGGAGAGCACAGAGGCCTCTGATGCCGAGTCTGAGGACAGGGAAGTCCAGGGGCAACGTGTCCGCTGGGAGCTTTCTGTACCGAACCGGAATCCGAGAGGCAGGCCTGGAATGAGAGAAGAATGGGCGCTGTCTGAGCCGGGAGTCTGCACTCACTGCAGCGCCCACACCTCTCAAAGGCCCGCCTCTCCGGCCGGTGTGCGCGGCTCCGGCCTGCCAGGGCGTTAGGCGTCCACTGAGGAGAACGCGGTGTTCTCTGGGACCCCCCGGCGGTGGCGGGTCCACACCCACACAGAGAATTCTGGCTGTCTGAGAGAAATCAAACCACGCGATGCAGGGTCCCCTCCCGGCCTCAGCTGGAAGTCAGAAAAAAGAATAAGGAAATAAACCTGTTAGAGATAACACGCGGACCCCTTCTGATCAAAAGGCATGGACAAAGATGCAGTCAGGAGGAGCTGATGGGCAGTGCCCAGGAGAGCAAGACAAGGGGACACGAGAGACAAACTCCACGCTCAAGCCCAGTCACCTTCTCATCCCCACCCCATACGGTCCACCTCCATCCGGTCCACCCCATCCAGTCCCACCCCATCCAGTCCCACCCCATCCAGTCCACCCCCATCCAGTCCCACCCCATCTGGTCCACCCCCATCCGGTCCACACCATCCGGTCCACCCCATCTGGTCCATTTCATCTGGTCACCCCATCTGGTCCACCCTCATCTGGTCCACCCCATCCGGTCACCCCATCTGGTCCACCCCATCCACTCCCACCTCATCTGGTCCATCTCATCTGGTCCACCCCATCCACTCCCACCTCATCTGGTCCATCTCATCTGGTCCATCCCCATCCAGTCCAACCCCATCCATTCCCACCCCATCTGGTCCAACTTCATCCGGTCCACCCGATCTGATCCACCCCATTCGGTCCACCCCATCCGGTCCACCCCCAATCGGTCAATCCCCATTCTGTCCACCCCATCTGGTACAACCCCATCCAATCCATCCTCATCCGGCCCAACCCCATCCGGTCCCACCCCATCCAGTCCATCCCATCCGGTCCATCCCCATCTGGTCCAATGTGGCCATCAGCACAGGAGCCAGGGTCTGCCCAGCCGAGAAGCTGACCATACCACACCTGTGAACTCATCTGTCCCAAGAGAAAGCGTCCATGTCCTATCAGACACCTCATTGTGGGGTTTTCTACTCCAACCAGTGCTCTGTCTCTAGACCACAGTGTGTCTTGCAATGCAATTCAATTCTGACACTATCTCCCCGAGACCCCAGAGTGTGGCTCTGCCCCATCAGGCTGCTCCTGCTCGAGGTGCCAGTTCAGTCCCGGGCCTCCATACTGGTAGCCCGATATCTACACATCAGGGTTCCCACAGCCCCCTCTTCAGGCTGATAATTTGGTAGGACCGCTCACAGAACGCAGGGACATGCTTTGCTGTTATGTTTTTAGTAAAGGTCTGTGAAGGGACAGATGAACAGTTGTTATGCCCAGATTTCATAACCCCAAAAAAACCCCAGGAAGCTGAGTTCGATGCAAAAGCAAAAGAGCCCTTTATTCGAGCTAGCCTGAACTCAGTCCCATGTACACCAACACACTGGCGAGGTGGAAAGAGAGCGAGCTTCAGCAGATCAAAGGGTTTTATAAGGGGTCTGGGGGAGGGGTGGTGAGGTCATTGCTTTGGCTGACCCCGATTGATTGGGTGAGGGCTAGGGTCCAATTACACAGTGACATAGTTATACAAAATGGAGGATACAGTACACGATGGAGTCAGGAGTTAGCCCCGCCCTGCCTCACAGTACAAAATGGAGTCAGGAGTTAGCCCTGCCCTCTCACAGCCAGACAAAAAGGTCTGTACAGTGAGGCTCAGAGGGTCCTGATCACAGGAGCCTCTCCAGGTGGAGCTGGGGCCCGTGGACGCTTTCTCTTGGGACAGATGAGCTCACAGGTGTGATATGGCACAGGGGTGTGTTCACTGACCTGGTGGCTCTCCAAACCCCACGCCCCAGGGGCGGACTAAGGAGCTCGGCGCCCAGCATGGCTGATGGAGTCACAGGCCCCTGGGGACTGACTCAGCTGCTCTCCTGGAGTTTGGGTGGGAGGTAGACTGAGAGTTTCCTACCCTCTAATTGCCTTGGTTTCCTGGGCAACCGTCTGCATCCTTAAGTTCATCCTTAAGTTATCTAGAGGCCCCCAGAAATGTTATTGCATTATGGACGGAAGGGGCCACATACTGACCTGACAGCTCAGGGGAAGCCTGCGTGGCGGTCTTGCAGACTCAGCCCTAAAGTCACCACAAAGGATGACCAGGGCAGGTCACAGGCTCTTTTAAATCTGCTTTGCTGGAATCTCCAGCTTGAGCTTTACTCCTCCCCTCAGGTCAAAGAGGCCAAGCCACACTGTTGTCATCAGGCTTTGACTGTAATACCAATAGGTTTAGGTGAATTCCTCAAGTTCTTGAGGTTCCCCAAAATGCCCTACGGTTCCTCCTTTGCCATCTCTCAGGAAAGCAACTTTCATTCCTTACCTGGAAAGCCTGCCATGAGCCATGCTGAGAAAGGATAGTAAGAAGCTAGAGAAATAAGGGAAACAGACAAAATAAACAAGGACCAACAATTTGAGCCATTTATCATCTTCCAAGAAATTGGCTGGGAGCTTAGTTGGTTGGAGTGTTACCCATACACCAAAGGCTGCAGGTTTGATCCTTCAGTCAGGGCACATAGCTAGGTTACGGGTTTGATCCATGGTCGGTATGCATATGGGAGGCAATCGATGTTTCTCTTTCTCTCTCTTCCTTCATCGCTCTAAAAATCAATAGAAAAACATATCCTATGGTAAGAATTTTTTAAAAAGATAATTGGTTCAGCCATCGCCAGTTTGGTTCAGTTGATAGAGTGTTGGGCTTTGGACCAAAGGGTCTCGGATTCAATTCCTGTCAAGGGCATATGCCTTGGTTGTAGGCTTCTCCCCGGCCTGGACCCTGGTCAGGGCTTGTGCAGAGGCAATCAATCCAAGTGTCTCTCACATCAATGTTTCAATCTTTCCCTCTCTCTCTGAAAATCAATGAAACAATATCCTCGGGTGAGGAGAAGGAAGGAAGGGAGGGAGGGAGGGAGGAGGAGGGAGGGTAGGAGGGAGGAGGAAGGGAGGGAGGAAAGAAAAAGAAAGAAAGAGGAGAGAGAGAGAGAGAGAGAGAGAGAGAGAGAGAGAGAGAGAGAGAGAGAGGAAGAAGAAGAAGAAGAAGAAGAAGAAGAAGAAGAAGAAGAAGAAGAAGAAGAAGAAGAAGAAGAAGA